CAGGTTCTGCCTCACTTTTGGGTTAACTTTTATGCTCTTGTTCTGTGGTTAATCCTGGAAGGACTTGCGCCAGGGAATATGAACAGGCCAAAACAACTGAGTCGGCTGAGAATCCCAGAGGTCCACAGAATGCTAGAAAACTGTGCGTAGCCAAGTTTAAGATCACCGTGAATCTAAGAAGTGTTCTGAAAAGGAGTCTATGCTGGGTCTGCTCATTTTAAAATTGAATTATCTGCCTGGCCGATGTGGTTCAGTGGTTAAGCATTGACCCATGAATCAGGAGGTCTCGGGTTCAATTCCAGGTTGGGGCAATATGTCTGGGTTGTGGGCTTGGTCCCCAGTAGAGGGTGTGCGGGAGGCAGCCAATCAATGATTCTATCTCATCATTGATGTTTCCACCTCTTTCCCCCTCTCCCTTCCTCTCTGAAGTCAATAAAATTTTTTTTTAAAAACCAACAACACAAATATCCTATGCCTTTCACACACATGCGCACAAATCCTTTATGGATATGTAATTCTCTCTTCCACACATATGTCAAACAGCATATGATTTTCATGACTAAGAAATAAAACTTTTAAAAGTCTCCAAACTACTTTTACCCCTTGGGCACTTTCCACTTGAATGTGGCATGCCTGGGATAGGTCAAGAGCTGATTTGTGGGCCCAGGGCACAAGAAAGAAGTTAAGATTACAAACTCTCGGGGCACTGCTCTACCAAGGACGTGGAATATACCAGTGAAAACCACCCAGCTCCGTGGCTGTGGTTTCCAACCTCCTGCCCACCATGTGAGGCGTATTTGTTTAACCTCCATAATGTGGTTACGGAAGGAGGCAGAGTTTTAAATGTCAGACACTGTGCGTGTTGTGTCTACTAGATCCTAACTCTCTGCTCAATAGGCATAAAGTTGCCTCTTTGGTTCATGAGTCACGAGTCACTTGCCGAAATGAGGAGGACAGTTGACATCAGCTGTTATGCAGGCAGAATTATGGGCTGAATAGTGCGGTTTTGAGGTTTAGATAGACCAGACCTGGATCCAGCTCTGCCCGTCACTACGTGGTAATCTCGTCACCTTTGTTTTGGTGAGACATGGACTGTACCACGGCCGACCTCCCAGGGCTGGCTGCGGACTGGAGACCCTGCGTACAGAACACGGCACAGTTCGCATTCACGGGCAGGAGGGCTCCCTAATGGCAGAAGTGCCTGCTCTTTGTCCCGAGAACCAGCAATACTGAGCCGCAAGGAAGGATGAAACACTGCCATCTGCGACAGCGTGGATGGACCCTGAGAGTCACATGCTAAGCAAAATCAACCAGATGGAAAGGGCAGGCATCATGTTCTCACTCACTGTGAAGGACATAACACAGAAGGCAGCAAATGAACAAACAAAAGAAACAAATAAAAAGTTCATTGACACAGACAACAGTATGGTGGTTGCCAGAGGGAAGAGGGGTGGGGGGAGGTTGTAGAGGGTCAGGGGGGTCAAATATATGGTGACAGAGGGGGGTAGACTTAGGGTGATGAGCACACAATACAATATACAGATGATGTTTCCAGTGTACACTCGAGACCTATATAGTCTCATTAACAATGTCACCCCGGTAAATTGAAAAGACAAAAACTAGCAACACAAAATGGAAGCTGCTGTGTTGGCGAGGCTTGGGAGGGTTTGCTTCGCGCCTTCAGAGAGGCGTGGCATGCCACGCGCACTGCCAGTGGCACAGGGCCCGCGTGACCCCACCTGCTGTTTCATCACCGTGCCCAATGCATCCATGAGTGACTTTCCTATACTCGGGCCTCACGATCACTGCGTCCGTCCCAAACAACACGATCTGCTCTTTTCCTGGGGACAAGGCCGACGGTTACCTTCTTTAAATGGGCTTCAATGGGGCATTGCCGTCATCACCGTGTGCCTCCACCTTGTGTAGAGCACCTCTGACAGCGGGGCCACTACCCCCGACTTTCCTGACAGTGTCCCCGCACAAGCGGCGAGGCCCTGCAGCATCTCCACAGGCTTCTGTGGGGGGAAGCGGTGGTGAGGGGAGAGCAGGGCCCTGGGCCACTCAAACACCGGCTCCGTGGCAGCCCCACCTCTTGTGTCCCTGGGAAAGTCACTCAGGCCCCCAGGCCCACGTCACCACCCACACCCCTGGCTAGCGACAGTGAGGCCCGGTCAGTGCACTCCGAGGGCCAAGCTGGGGGCTGCCTGGCCACAGCAGCACAAGGGCCACTGTTGGGACCACTGGCTTCTCCCCAACCAGGCACGCCAGTCCGTACCCCAACCCCGGCCCTTCCACAGCTCAGCAAACTCGCCCACCTGCCCCAGGAACCGCACAGCAGCTGAGTCCTTCACCTTCCTGCCTCGTCACTCACTGGTCCTACACTCTCTGGGCCCTTATCTGAGACACCTGGGGAGGGATGACTTTCCACTTCCTCCCCTGGGTACACGCCATTCGTTACTGGCCACAGACACTGGCACAGCCCACGTAGACCACAGGGCTTTTGCGTCTTGATTTCATTCCATCCACACAACAGCCCCGAAGTCGAAGTTCCCACCTTCAGACCTGCTCTTTTCTGCCCCTTATTCTCACGTACACCAGCACGTCACAGAGGCCTTGGAGACGGGGGAGGGTATGTGTGGGGGAGGTATTGGTGAAGGGGCAGGGAAAGGAAGGGAGACAGAGGGAGGACGGGGAGCAGGGGAGCAGGCTGGGTGTGGGCACTCTGCCTGGGGTGTGGCCTCAGGGTCTGAAGGTAAAGAAAGTGCTCCTCACCGACCATGTTTGCAACACTTGGTAGAGACCACAGATGGCCGCACTGTCCTGTGTGAACACAGGGTGACCGGATGCAGGGGCTACCTGGGAGCAGCCCGGGTGACCTCCGTGAGCGCGCTGACTGGGGAGAGGGTGCTGCGGGAGAGAAACCTGAAGCTGCCCCCACCAGAGGGGTGGAGGCAGAGCAAAGGACACGCGGCCCAGGAGTGGTCAGGGCGTGCACTCCAGCCTTCTCCTCCAAGGGCTCCAAAGGCAGCACCTTCCATGGGCCCGGTCTGTGGTTCCTGGGAACTGCCAACACCGTTTTGCAGGCGAGGAAACTAATTCAGAGACTAATACCCTGCAAAGCTCACACAGCAGAACGAGGGCTAGGACCCCAGTGAGGAGCCTTTCTCCTCCCCCCAAAGTTGGTGAGGTTTTATGCAGCTGACGGGCCCAAGGTACCTGCCAGCTCCACTTACCCGAAGGCAGAGCTGTTGGTTAACCCAAGCACACTGTGGCATTCTAACCTTAATCAGCATCACCATATCCTGTCCTCATTTTGTTGCTGAGATACCAGGCATCAAGTCTCCCGATTGGTGACAAACCCACCACAGCTCCCCAAAGCACATGACCACAAAGCATCAGCTCTACAGCGTTACCGGCCATGATGCTGTGTGGGCGAGCTGAAGCTCAGTATCATCTGGGCACCTAGGTGGTTCACCTTGGAGAAGACAAGGGGGGCGCTAGGTGCCAGGAAATGGGCACACAGCAGACATGCCAGCACAGCCCTACACATCACAATGCAGGCCAGCCTCCCAGAAGCGCTGGCAGCTTCCTTCCCTGGGACACTTCCTGATTCCCGTGACTGACATGCACATATCTGTCACTCAGAACACCCTCCGTTTTTGTTCCTGCGGAGAAAGGGGAAGGTGAGGGGCCAGGGAGAGAAGGCTGCAGGGGGCTCACTTTCTCATGCAGCTGCAGCCGAGGCTGCCCTCCCAGGCCCGTAGCTCAGTCCTGCTCACCTGCCCATCACCTGGCTGGGAGGCGAGGCGCCGTCAGTGAAGAGGGGCCGGTGGGGACGGCAGACAGCGACTTAGCGCTAATGGGACGGAGCACGCCCTGGGGACTGCTGGGCCATGAGGGTGGGGGAGAACCCGCAGGCTGCTGCAGTCTGGGAAGCATTCTGGGGTTCCAGAAGGAAAAGGCCCAAAGCCACAGAAGCGACATGAGCAGGGGCTCTCTTGGTTGGGTGATCAGGATAGCTTTAACCATGAGGCCACACCATGGTATGTGCAGCCACTCTTTAGTAAAAGAACACTGGATACGGAGGTACCCTTACACCTAAAATCTCCTGTCGAGAGTCCCATGATGATTAAATGCATCCCCTCCCGTGCAGCAGAAATCCTGGGTGACAGCCACCTCACAAGTCGGAGAGGAAGAGGGAACAGAGAGATCAATACGAGTTGGCAAGACCAAGACTCATGCTGTGGTCCTAAACCGCCGGATTTCAGAAAGTGACTGCGTTTGGACCAGGGGACCTCATCCAACCTGAGTGGTGTCCTGTGCGAGGAGGAGGCAGGACACACCAAGGTGACGTGCAGACACCACGCGAGGAGGCAAGGTCATGGTCTGCAAGCCAAGGAGAAAGGTCCCAGAAGAAACCAAACCGCCACCTCCTTGACCTGGACTTCCAGTCTACAGAACAGTGAGAAACTCATCTCTGGTGTGTCAGCGCCGAGTCTGGCTGTTTTGTGATGGCAGCTGAGCAGGCTGCTGTAGCTGCCCACACCCAGGAAGGCCTTAACGCTGAAACCCGGGACCACTGACCTCCTGGGGCATCTCTGACAAGGCTCGACAGTGACCATCCCGAGCCCTCAACTCCCTGAGGGCCACTGCTCCCCAGCATTGTGCCGAGGCCCCTTCCCTTAAGCAAGGACAGCGATCCTCCCTTCAGAGTCCAGTGGTTCTCAACCTTCCTGATGCTGCGACCCTTTAACACAGTTCCTCATGTGGTGGTGACCCCCAACCATAAAATTATTTTCGTTGCTACTTCATAACTGTAATGTTGCTACTGTTATGAATCGTAACGTAAATATCTGATATGCAGGATGTATTTTCATTGTTCGCGACCCACAGGTTGAGAACCGCTGCTCCAGACTTTCCTGGTCCTTTGATAAGCAAGCGCAAGCGCAAGGGCCAGGCATTGAAGGAGCACTCGGGAAACGGCGATGACCTCTACTCACTGTTCGGCCATGCTGGGGTCAAGAGAGTCAGCTTCGGTGGGCGTTTCAGGCAGGGAGGAGCCCGACTCCTGTATCTGGCACAGCTCCTCGTCCGTGATGATGTCGAACACAGTGTCGTCTGGTGACCTGAAGTCTGGGTTTGCACCTGGACCGCAGAGGCAGATCAGGAGAGAGGAGAAACACACACGGTCATGCACAGGATGGGAGGGGACCTCGGGGATGTGAGGGGTGCAGCCCCGCAGGACAGGCCACCGGGACACACAGTGAGGAATCACCCAACGATAGCTCCTCTGCCCAGATGTGCGAGGAATGGCTGTCGGGATGTGGCTACTGGGAAGAGCCAGAAAAGCAGAGTGGGGACTACAGAGGAAACTAGACGCACAACTTAATTTCTCTCCAGCCCTTCAGTCAGGGGCTTGGAGAGGTTTCACGCTTACACGGACTCTGAAGCCCCTGGTTTAGAAGGGAAACCATGTAGCAAAACCTTATCAGGAAAGACCTGAATGGAAAAGTAAAGGCACTTCTGTGCTGCCAAGTCCTCGCTCTGTGAGATAGGGCCTTCCCACGCCTCTTTGAATTCTGTCTGGCCTGCGTTTTCATCCCAATCCATGGGGGTTGGGGGGGGGGGCTCCCTCTGCTCAAGGACTTGTAGCGGCCACTGTGGTCCTGACCAGGGGACTGGTGCTGGGCTTTGCGGGCCACTTGGCAGCAAGGATGCCCTGTGTGTGCTCCTGTGCCCGTCCCCACCCACAAGCACCCTCTTGCATATGTCATGGAAAATGTGATGGCAGATCTGAGGTGAAAGAAAGAAGAAACAAGAAGGGAGGGAGCGAGGGAGGGAGGCAGAGAGACGAGAGGAGACAGGAAATATCAGAAATCAAAACAAGTGACCTCAGTGCCCTGGCACAGGGCCACCCTCTGTGGTCGCCAGAACACTCACCACTAAGTCAGAGCAAAAAGAAGGTTCCACTTCCTACGAGCAACCAGTTTCCTATCTGGCCCTCCACATGGCTACTGGGACGGGCCCTCCACATGGCTCCTGGGACGGGCCGTGCTTTAGAAGGAACGTTCTGTTCTTCCTCTTGCCCGAAGTCTACATAATAAAAGGGCTGAGGAGCGGCTGAAAAAGGGGCCAGGGACTGGTTTCTTTGTACAGACCCAGACACAAAGGAGCATCAGGGACCCAAAGTGATGTCCACTGAGAGAAATAAAACAAGACAGTAATGAATGGAGAGCTGTTCTATGTTCACAGAATGGAAGACTAGACTGATTTCTGACAAAGATGCAAAGGCAGATCTACAGGAAGAGAATACACTTTCCAACCAATGGTAGTGAAACAATGAACAACCATGTGTCAAAAAAAATGAATCTCTACCGAGAGTTTGCACCATATCCATAAATGAGCTCCAAACAGGTCAGAGACCCACACGTGCCACCTCAAACTGTAAAACTTCTAGGAAAACTTGAAAAAAATCTGTGAGTTTTTGGGTTAACCAAAGAAACATATGATACACAAAATAAAAAAATTTGATCCATGAGAAAAAAAATGGATAGACTGGCCTTCATCAAAATTATAAACTTGTGCTGTTTGAAAGAAAGTGAAAAGGCAGGCTGTAGACTGGGAGAAAATACTTGTAAAACACATGTCTGTAAATAACTTGTATCCAGAACATATAAAGGACTCTCAAAATTCAAGAATTTAAAGGTTTCAAATGAGCAAAAGATGTGAAGAAATACTAAAGCTGTGCCAAGCACCGCCCCGCCCCAGCGGTTCTTTGTGCCCAATGTGGGTGACGCGGCTGCCAACCTCCTTGAGGATCCAGTTAAACAAGAGACACTGGCGGCCCTGGGTCCAGGCAGAGGCCAAGGAGTCCACAGGGAGCAGCCCAGCGGGCAGCGCTGCCTGAGCAGAGATGAGACTCCCTTGGCCCTGGCCATGCCGGCTCTGCCTCCCGGGACACCCGCAGGTCAGCCCCCGAGAGCAGCCTGAGCTGGCCAGGTGGGCCGTGCTGGGAGCAGGAGCAGCAAATCCCGCTTCCTTGTACTGCATCGAGTGAAAGGACACGAAGGACAACACATCCTCCCTGGCCACTGAGAGACGGTGAGCCCCAGGAAGGCGTGCAGGCGGTCATTTCCAGACACAGCTCCTGGCCTTCAGTCACTCTGGGGGAGAGGGTGGGATGTCGGGGCCCAGGCTGCGGGAGACAGCAGCGTCTCTCAGGTGTGGGGTACGGTCACTGGTAGCATGTGAGCTAACAGGGACACAGGCCTCACGTTCACGACGCTGAATCACACCGACAGAAAGGTATTCCCTTTTCAATTCTTGTTCAATCCCAAGTGCATCATAAAGAAAGTCTCAAACTGGTAGACTACACTTTTCTACCTCTCTAGTGCCCAGGTTTGGAAAACACTGAACTGAGCTGTGGCAGCTAACTAGCCAAGACGGGGCAGCGGTGTACGGATGGCACCTGGGGACACCGAGGGTGGCAGCAGGTGTCTGACCTTGGCCTCCGGCGGCCTGCAGCCCAGCCGGGGCCGGCGACAGAGTTGGACTGGGCTGGCTCTGGCTGGTGCCCGAGCTGGTGCTGTCCGGGGAGCCGGGGCTGAACTTCTGGAAGCAGGCTCGGCAGCAGCGCTCCTTTCGGCCCCCGGGCTTTGTCGCCACGTAGTTGTTGCAGCAGTAGTAACAGAAGATGCGACCGCATATCCTGGGGACCAAGCAAGCATGGGCTGTGAGGACGGTGCTGTGGGCCTCGTGCCATCTGCTCAGCACCAGAGAGAGGCTCTGGGTTGGGCTCTAGACGCCACATGGCTCTCCTCACACCTGGCTCTGCCCCCCACTTTAGAATGCGGCCGTAAGGCCCATCTGATAAGATTCCAATAAAGCCATCCTGGTAGGATTAGTGGGAGAATATTTTGTTTCCTAAGGTTGTGGTAGGCTGGGGGATAAAGTGTGCGGTCAAGACCACCTTCCCTGACACAGGATCCGGGTGTGGCCGAGGCCCTGAGAGAAAGACCCCAGGCCTGTGGGATGTCCCCTCTGCCACCACTGGAGACCTGCTTTTGTCTGCCCTTCTTTGGGGCCCAGGGGTCTTTGCTCTGTGCTCCTCCAGGGAAGCCTTAGCCCCACGGGCCTGGGTTCCAGTAATACCCTTCCCCCTCTGGTCCCTCAGGCTGAGGGAGGGTCAGGGCTGCTGGTCTGGGGGCTCCACATCCCCTCGGGTCCCCTAACTCCACTCACACATCTGTATGCAAGGCTCTTTACCTTCAGGATCCCCTGGGGGTCCTGCTATTACCCTGCTTAAGACACCCTCCTCACCCAGGTCCCTTACAACCAAAAGCACTGTGGTCCTGGTGGGCACAGCCTCGGGCTGGCCCGTTGGCTGCCTGCCCTGTTCCGGGCCCTGCCAGGGGTGGTGCTGGCCAGCGTGCGGCCTGCTAACCTGCAGCGGTGCCGCCGCACCATCCAGCTGAACTCGCGCCTGCAATCAAAGCAGTGATTCACTTCCGAGTCCCCGAATCGCTCCTCAGCGCTGAGCTTCTGCTGGAATTCCAGGGCATCGGACTTCTGCCAGAGCGCATCCTTGTCCCTGGGACAGAGCCACATCAGGAAAAAGAAGGAATCCATGAAAACAATAGAATTATCCCGGATTCATTTTTAAAAACTGACTCCAAATTCCCCAAGACGCAGAAGGAAACTTCACCTGTACCCTGGAAGCACACCCTCTCTAGGTCTCCTGTCACCCCAGACTCCGCAGGCCCCTCCAATGTGCAGGCCCTTCACCGGCACCACACACGTCAAGGCACAGAGATGACCTGGGACGTGCAGAAAAGGCTCTGGCACCTGCAGAGGGGCCGGCACGGGCAAGGGTGACACGGCTCAGGCGTCTAGGTGACAGTGCACGAGGCCGCCGGGAGCTGAAGCTACAGCGTGCTGGCGTGGTTACCCGACAGAGAGCTGTGAGCCAAGGACCACGGGCACACTGCCCTCTCACATCTCCACTGTGCTCGGGGCCTTTACGTGTTTATGGCTCATGGTTCAAATAGCATCTAATCATTGCAGGGGATCAAAGCTTTCCCAGCCTGAATGATGTCCATCACCCCATGTTCCCCCGAGGGACAGCAGTCACCCCAGGAAGTAAGTCTGAAAGAAGCCGGGGCTTTTGAGAAAGGCCTGGCAGTATCCGCACGTGCCTGACACACCAGGGAAGACGCGTGCAGAGACATCCTTACTGCTGCCATTGGTCACCTTCGGGGCTCCCGGCTCTGACATGGGACAGTTTAATTCTTTCCCGGATGGAACCCCAGTCACCATCCTAAGGCCTAACATGGCCCATTAGCACCTCAGCCCTGATGACCAACACCAGAGCCACCTCAGCCCTGAGGGAAACAGGCTCCACCCAGCCAGGGACCTCACAGCAACCCCAGACCAACCCCCTAACCCCCAAAGCCGGAACATGGAATCGATTGGCTCTCCCAGCACACAAGACATTGTCAGGACCAGCACTTCTCCCGGCCGCTCCACAACTTGTCCTCTGTCCCAGGAGGCCAGGCACCCACACCCTGGGGATGTGGGAATGCCGCGGACCTGGGCTTCCTCCTCACCCATCGGGGGAAGCTTTCTGTGCTCAGAGGTCTCAGGTCTGCTCATTGATGACATGTGGGCGACGTTTTTAAACGTCCACCTTAGTTATAATTTAATATCACCATTTTGCAAGCCCAAATAAATGATTAGGTCTAGCATTGCTTATCAATGGCCGCTAACGTTCAAAGAAAGGGCTATCAGATCAATGTGGCCCTTGAACGCCTCAGAATTCCAAGCAGCGTCCTGGCCACAAGTGTGAGCCTGAGTCTGAGCGAGCCTCTAGCAGAGCAGAGATTCTGGCTCTGCCTCTGGCTCGGTGATGCCTGGAACCCACGCCCACTGGGTCTTGGTGAGGCCTGGATGTAAGTATTTTATTTTTTTTAATGGCTCTCCAGTGATGCTAATGGGCAGTCAGAGCCAAGAAGCACTGCTCTGACCACCAATTTATAGGAAATACAAAGGCTGGGGGAATGACCAGATAAATGACCTGGCTTTCTCAAAAATAAATTGCAAAGGAAAAAAAAGTTAAGAGAGATGGTGGGGATACCCACAGACTAAAGAGATCTAAGAAAATATCCCTATGCAATGCATGGATCTAATTTAGGAAAATTATAAGGCAATTGAAAAAAATTGTGAAACCAAAATCCATTCTCACCAGGTTGCCATGGGCCTGAGCAGAACCTGTATGTAAGTGCCTGTGTGTGTGTGTGTGTGTGTATGTGTCTGTGTGTGTGTGTGGCAGACGGGGAGGGGGCGCATTTCCATGAAGAGTTCCGTTACGAACAGTTGCGTGTCTTTAAAGAAACACCAACACTCACCTGAGCAGCTCTATCAGCCGTTCCTCCAGGTTCTTCTTGGTCCTAGTCAGGTCATCCAGGTCCGCCAGCATCTTCTGGTCATTCTTCTCCCGGCTTCTCGCCTCCTGGCAGAGTTTGCTGCAATACTCCTGGATTTTTGCCGTGGCTCTTTCAAGTTCCTTCTGGGTCCTGGTGGGGGAGTGGTATGTTCCCTGACTCCCCACTCCTTTCCGCTTCCCCTGGGCCTCTAATAGGGTCCCGCGGCCCTCCCAGCCACCCCCCACAGTGAAGGAGGCCCTTGGCACTGCCTGCTCACAGGTGGGGCACCCCCTGGCCTCGAGGACTCCCCTCACACACCGAAACTCTTCACACCAAACACAAGGGGCATTCTGGAAGAGCAGGTAACCCCAGGCACTCGAGCACCCCAGGATGAGTTGAAATGAGGTTTCAAGAGGAGCCCTAGGACAAGGCTCAGGGACTAGTGCTAGGGAGGGGGAGTATTTGCAAGAGGAAAAGGAATCAGGACAGAAAGGACAGAGGGGCACAGCTTCCTGGAGGTGACCACACAGAGGAGGACAGTCTTCATGTGTCTTTGTGACGCTACACACGGACATGGCGCCGGGCACACAGCAGGCGCTCCACGGGCACGGCCCCATGTGCTACCTGACAGCCCAGCAGGGCGTGCTGGCTGAGCCGCTGTCGGCCAGCCCTTGCCCACCCCACCTTCACCCTGGCTATCCCCTAAGGCAGTGGTTTGCCAAGGATGCTCTCTAAACCCCAAGGTCCACAAGATGTTTGTAAAAGCTCCAGTAGACAGAGGGCTCTGCAGAGACAAACTAATTTGCATCTCATCCAGCCTTTTCACCTCCAGCACAATGTCGTCAGGAGGCTGTTCACTAGACCCTGTCCACCTAAATGAGTACACACAGACCAGCACGGCCTGCTCACAGTGGATAACAAAAGATCCACTCCTGCCACATGGAAAATGCAACTTGGAGCAGCTACAACAATGGTGTGAGATCTCACAACCAACCACTATTACTGCGTTAAAAACAACAACCCATCACCAACGCAGGAGTTCTATTTACACCAGGTGAGCGTGACCTAGCGGAGCCAGGAGTCAGGTGGGAAGGAATGCATGTCCAGCCACTGAACATCCAACATGCGCTGCGTCTCCCGCTGGTGGGCCCAGCCTCCGAGGCGGAGGGGAGGAGGGTGAGTAGAAAAGTAAAACCCTTAGCACAATTTGGGTGCCTGCCTTGGGAGGTGGAGCAGGGCACACGTGCAATTCGGTCCCTGCATCTCCTCCTGCTACCCCTGTTTTCATCAGCGCCTGGCAGGACGCGCTGGGCCCCATCGCCAGGCGGTGGGCTCGTGCTCCAGGTGGTCCCTAAGCCTGAAGACGAGGAGGCTCGGGGAGGCACAGGGGCAGGCGCAGGGGCTGGCCACACATAGGCCCCAACTGTAAGGTTAAAAAACCATGAGGAAAGGGTGAGAGCGTGACGTGCTCTGCACAGACACAGCACCAGAGCGGCTGTGGGAACACAAGCCGGCCAGGGTCCCTGGTGCACTCGCTCACTGTCGGGACGAGCTTGGGAAATGAGGGAGAGCTGGAGGCACCTCCACAGTGGGGGAAACACGCACACGCGCACAAACACCAGTGCCCCCCGGTAAAACAGAACACGTGTCTGTCCGGATATTATTGAGAAAACAGACCTCTGGAGCCCAAAGTGTCTGGGTTCCAATCCTACCATCGTTTATACCCTGACCTGGGAGGGCAAATAAACTCTTCTGAGCCTCATTTTTCCCATCTATAAAATGGGAATAAATAATACCACCCTCATTGGACTGTTGGGAGGATTAAGTGGGCAACTAGATGCGAAGTATTTAAGGCGGTGCCTGCTCCATTTCAGGCATTATTTAAGCGTCTGCTGCTTTTACTGCCATTATTACATCCCAACTTTGCCAGGGGTAAGGAAGTGGAATTGGAAGGGCCCGCCGTCCACAGGGCTGTGAGGGGTGACGCAGGCTCTCGGTGGCATGCTTCCGGCACAAGCACTTTCTGGTCTGTGGCTTTTCTTGAAAAAGGACTTCAGTTTTACGAGTGGCTGACTTTCTAAATGACTGCACCCAACACCCCTTCCCTGAAAACTGCCACTGGGCGCGAGGGAGGGCCTCGTCACTAACCTGTCCAAGTTCTCGCGCAGGGCGGCCCCCTCCTTGTCCTTCTTCAGCATGGCGGCCTGGCACTCCGAGAGGCGGCTGCTGGTGCGGCTCAGCTTCTCTCCCAGGTCTGCCTGGGTGGCCTGGCACAGGACGGCAGGGCGGATACTCAGGCGCAGAAGCACGTGTCAGACGCCATGAGGCGACGGCTGTGCTCTCACCACCTGGCTGGTCCCTTCCAACTGGAGGGACTTTTGTTCGTTTGTTTTAACGTGAGGCCAAGAATCTTTTTTCTATGTCTGTGGCGTGTGACACACTCCGATTTGTGATGATGTCCCTTAAGCATCAATGGCAACTGGTTGTGGTGGTTGGAGGGGAGGCAGGGGTCAGGATCTCCAGGGTGGGGCTGGGGGTGGGCGGCAGGGAGCGGGATTCAGTGAAAAAGGTCGCTGCCCTGAAGACTGTGGTTTCAGCGCCACCCCTGTCCCTGCTCAGTTCAGACTGACTCAGAGCACATCTGCAGGGATGACTAGAGGACAATTTCCTTGCCAGAGGCTGCGTGAAAAACACATCGGCAGCTCCAGCCAGGTGTCCGGGGAGTGGATGGGACCATGATGCAAACTCGGGGTGTCTGCAAAAGTGGGCTGATGACCCCTTCAGCTTGGGAATGGGAAGTCCTATGGGGAGCCCCTTAATGGTCCAGTGAGAACCAAACCAGATCCCCTCGGCCCTGATGGGTCCACATTCTGAGAGAGGAAACGGCCAGGTGGAGGCCACCACATCGGTCTCCCTTCCCAGGTGCCAGTCTCTGATCAGGGCTCCCAGAGAGGCACTCCCAGCCAGGCCTACCTCCAGCTTGTCCACAGCCTCCTTGGCGGCCCGCAGCTGCTGGCCCCGTACCTCAAGCTGGCCCCGGAGGCTCCTGCACTCTTCGCTGGCAGTCTGGAGAGGGCGAGAAAGGGATCGCAGACGTGGGGTCTTTGCTCTGAGACTCCTCAGCCACATTCCCCAAATGGGTAAAAACAAGCTACCTCCCTCTTTCCCCCAAACTCAGTAAGCGTCAGGCTTCATTGGTAATAAAACTCTTTCAAGTTTACTGAGAGACTTGACTTGGTCCCCCAACTTGGAATTTCATTTCTGCAAGGAAAAATGTGGCCTCTGAGCCCCATGGAGCTGCATGGGATGGGGCGATAGGAGGCACATCTGTGCAAACAAATGCCATTTATCATGGGGCTCTTGGAACAGATAACAGTCATCCCTGTCCTCACTTTTAGCTCCTTTTCTTTGTGCAGCATCAAAGGCACGTGGTAACCGCTGTTCTCATTTCCAAGGCCCTTTGATAACTGAGTCAGTTCCCTCCGACTGCACCTGCTGTCAGAATGGCATCTGAAGGGACAGACACAGGCCTCAAGGCAGCCAGGACTGCTGGTTAGAGGCTACAGCAGGGGTCTCAAACTCACATCCCCAAACGGGCTGGGTAACTGCATAAAGGATTGCAAGGAAAATACCAGAGGATGCAGGCCCCCTTTAATGTGGGCAGTGCCCACCCAGCTCCTGCTGACCGCTGCCACACCGGTCAGGAGGGCATAGGCTTTAAGATTGCTCAAGATTCCAGCCCAGCCAGCATGGCTCAGTGGTTGAGCATCGACTTATGAATCAGGAGGTCACATGCCAGGGTTGCAGGTTCAATTCCCAGTAGGGGGCGTGCAGAAGGCTGCGGATCAATGATTCTCTCTCATCATTGATGTTTCTATCTCTCTCCTCTCCTCTCCCTTCCTCTCTAAAATCAATCTATATCTAGATCTATATCTATATCTATATCTAATCTATATCTATATATATATATGGAATCTCTCAAGATTTTGAAAGAAGTGCCCAAAGTGAATGTGTAAATATCCCACTCTTTGAATGTTGACTATTAATTTTTAAAAAATTCTCTGGGCCAAACTTGTGTGCCACGGCCTTGAGTTTAGATTTCTGGGCTAGGGTATCATTCCCCAATGTTGGGCCCCTAGCAAGTTCCTGCAGAGAGGATGCTGTGAGCTATGATGGCGGGACGGGACTATGTACACCTGGGCCCTCATGTGCCCGTGGCTGAAGGTGCGTCCTATCCCCTCATGAACCCACCAGGTCCTGCCGCAGGAGACAGGTGCAGCCCCTGGCCAAGGCTAGGATTACCTTAAGTTTACTCTGATAGTCCATGATCTCGGTGCTCAGCTGGAACTTGAGGGTGTCAAGCTCTTGGTGTGCAGTCTCCTGAAGGCCCTGGGCCCGCTGCTTGGCTTGGGTCAGCTGGGCCTGCAGGCCAGGCAGTGAGTTAGCTGCCTCCTCGGCCGCCTTCAGCTTCTCCTGCAAGCTCTCCTTCTCTCGCTGCAGCCCCGCCACCTGGTGTTCCAAGCCCTTGCGCTCCTTGGCGGCTGCCTCTTTGGCGTCCCGGAGCTCCTGCACGGTGCAGGCCAACACGCCCTCCATCCGCTCCCTCTCCGCGGTCAGCGCACAGACCTGGATACCGAGCTCGGCAGTGTCCGTGTTGGCCCGGTGCAGCTGCTCCTGCAGCTCGGCATGCTCCAGCTGGGCTTCCTGGGAGCTGCACTTGGCCTGGGACAGCTCCTCCTGCAGGGCCTGGAGTTCCTCCATCCTCAGATGGGCCTCCTGGGCCCGCTCCTCCTGCAGGGCCCCTTCCTGCTCTGAGCACTGCAGCAGCTCCTGGACATGGGCCCTGTTGAGGGCCTCGTTCTGCTCCTTCAGTTGCTGCACAAGGGCCTTGTGCTCCTGCAGAGCCGCCTCAGTCACGCTCAGCTGGCTCTGCACCTTCTCTCGGTCACCCAGGGCTGCCTGGAGCTTGGCCTTGAGGTCCACCACCTCAGCCTGCACTCGCTGAGCCTCCCCCTGATGGACCTCCAGCTGCGCCTGAGATAGGGCCAGCTGGGCAGCTAGCTCCTGGGATGCATTTTCTTGAGGTGGGCTGAGCCCCTGTTGGCCTTTTTCTGCTCTGAGGGTCTCGATCAGCTGGGTCTGCTGCTGGCACTGGCTCTCTAAAGCCCTGAGCTCCCCTTCCCGGGTCTCTGCCAGCTGCCGGCACTGCTCCATCTGCTCCCGCAGCTGCTGGCACTTGGCCTCCTTGCTCTGCAGGGCAGCCTCCTTCTCGGCCATGCGGGCCCTCATGGTCTCCTTGGCCTTCACAACAGCCAGGAGGCTGGCCTCCATCTGATCACCCATGTGCCGGATGCTGGCTTGCTTGGACTCCAGGGAGGCCAGGGAGCCCTGGATGGCTGCCTCCCGCTGCTGCAGGGCCTGGTAATCCGCCTGCAGGGCACGCAGCTTGTCCTCCAGGCGCTGGTTACGGGCCATCACGCTCTGCAGCTCCTTCTCCAGCTCCATGTTGGCCTGCCGCAGCTCCTCCTCCCGGCTGCTCCCCTGAACTGCAGTACCATCCACCGGTCCCTCCTGCAGGGCCGAATCCTGGGGGGCCAGCACTTCACTGCTCTCCGCTGCCACGGGCAGGCTGGGGCCTGGCTGCGCAGCGAGCCGCTCCAGCGTCCCCACTTTCTCGCTGAGGCGGTCTCTGTCCTGGATGAGCTGCTTCCTCTGCTCCTCCAGGTCGCTCACGCGCTGGCTCACCTGTGCCAGCTGGGTCTCCAGGAGCCGCAGCTGCCGTGTCAGGGACCTGGCCTCGCGCTGCAGCAGCTCCTTCTCCTCGCGCTGCTGCCGCTCGACCTGTCTCACCTCTGCCAGCTCTTCCTCCATGGTGCTCATGTGGGCCAGCGACTCCTGCAGCCGGCGCCGCAGCTGGGTGGCCTCCTTCCTCTTCGCGGACAGCTCTTCCTGCAGCGAGGCCATCTCCCTGACCACGCGCTCCAGGCCGGCCCGGGACTCCTCCTTCAGCTGCAGCTCCCTGGCCAGCTGCTCCAGCTGCGTGCTCTGCTGCCTGTTGAGCTCCTGGACCTTGGTGCTCTCCCGCTCTAGGGCGTGAAGCTTCTCCCCCAGCTGCTGGATCGTCAGGGCCGAGGCACTGGGGTTAAGCTCTGGCTGCCCCTTTGTGTCCAGTGCCACATCTGCCTTCTGCTCAGCCATGCCCAGACCTGGGACATTAGCCGAAAGCTCGTCCTTCCTGCCCAGCGCGTCCCGTGTGGCCTCGAGCTCCTGCGCCAGGCGCTGCAGCATGGGCTCCAGCCGCTGCAGGGCCAAGTGGGAATCTCCCTCCTTCTCCGCGGGTCCTGGTTCCAGGGCCTGCAGGCACTTCTGCAGCTCCTGCACGGTGCTCTGTGTGGCCTGGGTGACCTCCCACTGCTTCTGCAGCTCAGCCGTCATGCGCGATAGGCGGACGTTGTCCTCGGCTGCAGAGCGGGCCCGCTCCCTCTCCACCTGGAGCTGCTCCCCCTGTGAGGTGACGGCTGCCCGCAGCTCCTGGTTCTCTCGGTCCAGCTGCTGAATGCGCTCCTGCAGCTGCTTCTCCCGCACCTCCAGCTGGTCCAGCTCCACTCGCATCTCATCAAAGCCCTCCAGTGCCTCGTTGTTCAAGGGGCTATTCAGGTCAAGGCTGGAGGCCATTTCCTGAGTCTGGGGTGGGGGAGAGGGGAGAAGGGGGAGGAAAACAACAAAAACATGGCTTTGGGATGAAGCTACATGGCTATTTGGAAAAGCTTTAGAGTTTAATGAGAACAGAAGTAACAATATAGCAATCACATAACCTAAGCTTAGTCCATCGAGCTATTCAAAGGACGAGAACCCTTAGCTCACAGCACCTGCCAGCAGCACACCCTGAACACCCAGGGCCACACATGTGAGAGCCCCGAGACTCAGAACTTGCTTCCCACTCAGCCTCCTGTGCATTAGTAACATAAAAATGTTACTAACTTAACTTACATAACTTAATCTACTGTCCACCACGCACTATGCCCACAACTCCTGGGGTGATTAGACCACAAAACAGGGTGAAGTCCATTTTCTACTCTTAATGCTGCCTATGTTGAGTCCCTTTATTTTGTTTTGTTGGTTACTTTCAGCAGCCTTTCCCACAAAACTATATACAACTCTGACACATTCACATTTCTACCAAAACTAACCCTACCCACCAGCACTTATTTAGCACTTGCTGTGTCAAGCCCTTATGCACAGTACACGTGCTCCCGCACCCACCCCCACAACCATCCACTCAGCTATGGTGATTTTTCGATCCCCTTCGTATGGGTGAGAGAGCTGACACTTCCAGAGGGTCAGGCATCTTCCTGGGGCACAGCTGGTAGGTGACAGGCAGGATGTGACTCAGCCGCTTTTAACCAGAATGTTAACCTGCTTCTTTTCAAATACCTTAAAGCTTTTAAAAGAATTTACTTTTTAAGAGGCCTAAGCTCTATTTGGTCATAAGAACCTGGACTCTAGAAAATATTGGGTGTAACTGAGGGTTCGTTGCTCTGGCCGGAACAAAGGTGTCTGAGACCATCGCCCTGAGGTGCGAGGGGCAAGGACACACCCTGGCTGACACTACGGCGGGGAACCCCAGCCTCTCGGGCATTACCTGCAGGTAGCTGCTCACCAAGCTGCTCATGCTGGAGCTCCGGCTGGGGGGTTTCCACAGGTAGGCAGAGGAGCCGGGGGCCAGTGTCCTCCTGCGGGGCATAGAACAGACACACCTGTATCACAGCAGGAAGCACGCACGCACGCATACACGCACACACGCGTGGAAACCAGGTGTGTTGGGGGGACTCCGCTGTAAAAGTTTAAACATGATGGCTTTCTTCCCTGTGCCAAACAACATCTAAGTGAGCGTAGTATTTCCCAATTTTTGGTTAAACTTTCCTTGACTGTTGGTGCCTGCCTCAGTCTGTCTGCTAGTGAGGAACAAGGAGCAGTCAGCGTGGTCCGTAAGGTCACACTGTGCTTAGGGGCTCATGGTCACGGCTCACAGACCTGCTTCGAGTCAGGTGGCTGTCCTGGGGAATTAGGTGCAGGCCCACCAGCCATGTGACTTTGGGAAAGTGCCCCCACTTTAAGCCTGTGTCCTCAGCCTCACCCTCCTGGTGTGTTGTCAGGATTCAGCGGGATGACGTGTTGAGCGCCATCTTGGTGTAAAAAGTGAAAACATGGCAACCTTCCCAGCAACCCTTCCACGGATGGGCTGTAGCTTCCACTCCCTCTTCCTGCCTGGAAGGCCTCCTTAACCGACCCCCAAGGACACGAACGGGGAAAAAGCCCACCCGCCCCTCCCCAGACTGGCACACATCCCTTAACATTTAAAAACCCTGGCTTTTGCATATGCATTTCCTCTCATGCCACCTGGCCAATTAGGTCAGCTTAAGGTTGGAACCTTCAGATGTTTAGTGACTCACAGTTCAAAAAAATCTGTACAATTAACAGGCATAAGAGTGGCGAAGCTTTGTGTATTTATTGAGCACACACAAGTCCTTTGAGTAGACTGGTGGCAATTTTCAAAATTTCAAACATCCCCCCCATACCCCCACCCTGTCTTTTAAACCAAGCAATTCTTACAATTCTTTACAATACCTGGCAAACGTCGGCCAGGCCGCGTCCAAGTCATAGCCCCTGGACACCAAGTCAAACTGAACGTCGGTGAGCTCGTAGAGCTGGCCCACAATGTCAGAGCTCAGCCTCGGCTTCAGAAAGGGGCTTCGGGCGTAGTACCAGTCGCTGCAGGGAAACATACAAGG